GTGAGAGCCAAGGGACCCACTTTGGGAGGCCAAGGAACCCGAGGAAAGGGTAGAAGGGCACAGGCCTGAGTTCGCTGGACCGCAGGTAGACTGCCCAGCGGTCAGAGAAGAGGGAGATTGTAGGAGTACTTGGTGAGTGCTGGAGAGAAGGGAGGCTTGGGGTGCTCAAAGGCGGGCGGGACTTGGGGGTGCTCCTCAGCAGCAAGGGGAAGGGCATCCGGCGACGTCCTCCGCACCTCCTCCAGGTAGACGTCCTCGTTCCAGTTGCCCATCCGGACTCCAGGGCCGTACAAGTTCTGCGCCATCACCCGGGCTCTCCGCGAGCAGACCTTCCCTGGATGTTGCCGGTGAGCGTGCCCGTCGCCATAACGACCTGACCCCCTGCGATTGGCCAAGGTCCAGATCCTGCTGGCCAATGAGAGAGAGCGCACGAGTTGCCCAGGGCCCAGGTGGCCCCACCCCAGCGTCTGTTACTGCTCATCCCCACCCACTGCCACAGCTTAGAGGTCCTGGTGTTTAATTGCAAAGTAGGAGAAAGGAGAAGCTGGAGCTTACACACCTCACAGTCCTAAATGCTCCGTTGAGAGAAATGTAAAACTTTTTGTTTTAGAATCTAAACAAAAACTGCTGTAAAAGTGGAGTACTCCTTACTTGTTAAGGCAGCAAAGAGGAACTTTTTAAATGGAAGCACAGCCTGCTTGCAGCCTATTTTTATAATCAGCAGCAGCCCCACCAGTCTCTCCCTAATCATAAAACAATACATGCTCAATATAGAAATTTGGAAGCCAAAATAGCATAGCAGGAAGAAGGGATGGGAGCGTTACTCAGGATTTCACCGCCTCAAAAGCAAGAAATAGCATATTTCTGTTTATATGCTTCTGACTTGGTCCATATTTTTATGGACTCTACAGCATTTCTCCTCCCCTTCCCCAGTCTCCAAGTGCAAGGACAAGCCTACGATTTACAAGAGCTCTCGATAAAACCGGAATATGCTGGTGCCAACATCTGTTAAACACAATATTTCATGACTAAGAGCTATAAACAACTACTGTAGGTCTGCCTGGAGCTTTGCTGATTAAAGGCTGTCAGTAATTCACCTTTGCTTAGGTCTACTCAGGACAGAAATGAAAGACTCGGGGCCTTTCCTCCCTTCAACAACCCCAGCCTAAAAGAGAAGGTGATCCACGAAAACAAACCACCTCAGGAGGAACGCATGAGTGCGCCTGAAGAGGATGAAGAGCCAGGAAGGGGATGAAGAAAGCCCTCCCTGGTTCTGCCTGGGGGCTGTGAGAATGAGAACAAGCAGATGAGAGCAAAGCTGTCAAGATTATCGGTGTAAAGATTTACCGAATAATAATCAAATCTTAAAAACCTTACTAAATCATGTGGAAACCAGAGATGCCTTATCATATTCCTGACCTTACAGGGAATATGGAAATACTTAAAGAGAAAAAATCACTATGGACTTCAGAGTCAGAAAATCCGGGTTGAGCCTGTACTTTGAGCAACTTTTAGCAGTTTGAACTTGGATAAGCCTTTAGCATCTTTGAGCCTCAGTTTCTTAATTTGTCAAATGTAGTTAGTGGTATAATATCTACCTTCTTTGTTCATTTATCCTTTTGAGGTATCCTAGAATATGGTTCTGTGTTGACAGAGCTGGTGGATTCATCGGTGTGCGGAACGTTCCCAAACTTGTGTCCTATGCTGCAGCCTGCAGTCAGACCCTTAAGTTCAGCACCCCCCCCAACCCCGCAATCACCACCCATCCATCTCCATTCTTGTTCTCATTCTCACAGCCCCCAGGCAGAACCAGGGCTTCCTTCATCCCCTTCCTGGCTCTTCATCCTCTTCAGGCGCACTCATGCGTTCCTCCTGAGGTGGTTTGTTTTCGTGGATCACCTTCTCTTTTAGGCTGGGGTTGTTGAAGGGAGGAAAGGCCCCGAGTCTTTCATTTCTGTCCTGAGTAGACCTAAGCAAAGGTGAATTACTTTGCTTTTAAAATCACTCAGGAGAAAAAATACACAATATACAGAATACTCTTTTGCAATTACATACATAATTATCTTTGCTGGTGCTCTTTGTTTTTTCGTGTGGATGCAAATTACAGCCCGGTATTACCTGCTTTTAACCTGAAAAGCTGCTTTGGTTTTCCTTATAAAAAGGTCTGCTAGCAACGCATTCTTTCAGTTTTCACTTATCTGCTTATTTCACCTTCATTTTTGTAAGACAGTTTTACTGGATGTAAGACTCTTGGTTGCAGTTTTTTCTCTTAACACTTAAATACGCCATCCTCCTGCCTTCTAGCTTCCATGTCTCTCATGAGAAGTCAACTCTTAATCTTAGTGGGGTTCCCTTGTAAGTCTACTAAGTGTCTTGCATGAGCTTTTGTTGCTTTTAAGACACTCTCCTTATGTCTGTCATCATTTTGACTATGGTCTGTGTGGCGACCTCCTTCCATTTATCATACTTGGAATCTGCTGAGTTTCCTGGTCGCATAGATTAATGTTTTTTTTCCATCAAATTTGGGACTCGCCATTATTTCTTTGAATATTTTTTCTGCTTCTGTCCATCTCTCTTCTCCTTCTGGTACTCCTGCGTGTACGATGCGTGTACATTGGTTCACTTAACAATGCCCTCATTTTTCTAAGGCTGTATACATTTTTCTTATTTTTTTCCTCTCTGTTATTCAAATTGCATGATTTCTGTTGATTGATCTTCAAATTTGCTCATTTCTTCTTCTGACATCTCAAATCTACTACTCCATCTGTCTAGTGAATTTTTCATTTTGGTTATGATACTTCTCAACTCCAGAATCCACAGTGGTTTCTTTTTCTTTTTTAATCATGTCTTTAGTGATACATTTGCTGGGACATTGCATTATAGCCTCCTTAAATCTTTTAATCATGGTTTCCCTTAGATCTTTGAACATATTTATAACAATTGCTTTGAAGTACTTGTCTGCCATGTCCAAAATTCGGGTCTTCTCAAAGCCTGTCTTTTCCCATTTCTTTGTAGGTTTCATAAATTTCTGTTAAAAGCTAAGCATTGTAGACAATCTACTGTAGTGACTCTGTGTACAGATTCTCCACCCCTGGTGCCTGTTGGTGTTGTTTGCCTGTCTGCTTGGGCATCTGTTTCGTGACCCTGGCTGGACGAGTTAAGTGAGATCGAGGCCCCATAGTGCGCAGCCCTCTGAGGTCACCCTTCAGGGCTGCAGCCATGAGCATGTAGAGAGTCCCCTGACGCTCTAAATGAAACCTACCATAAACAACAGAACATAAAAAAGGGTCTCACTACTTACAATGCAGGTGGATTTAAAATCCAGGTGATAACAGAACTATAAACCAATTTGCAAGGAGGTTTTTATAAAAGCGTGTTTTACAAATTTTTACTTTCATCTGAAAAAAATATTAAAATGTTCAATTTATTATAATCATAAAGAATTTTACATTTAAATTCCTCAAAATCCTCAAAGCTAAGATTAAAACAGAAATGCACGCACACGTTGCTGATTGCGGAGCAATTTACTCAGCTCTCATTTAGCAATATCTCCTTGAAATCAGGCCCCCGCTGCTTCCACGTTATAGTTACTGTGATTTTGACATGAACCAGGTAGACACTGGAAAACGCATTTGCTATTTTTTTTCCTGACTTGATGAGGCTCTTGGAAACATTTAATTGGAGCCTTTTATTACTTACTTGTGAAACATCTGGCAGGAAAAGCCAAAGAAATACTTGGACAGAATCGTTTTCGGAAAGGAGAAGTGGAACAAAGTTCACGTATTGGGAAAGAGGAACGAGAGTCACAAGGTTAGAGGCAAGAACCTCCAGGGCGCTGAGAGTGAGTCTGAAAGTCCTCAGCGGGTGGATGACAAATGCGACAGGTCATCACAGAGCAAAGAAAAAAGTGGGACCGAAGCCTCCCTTTCACTGAGCTGTGCAGCTGTTTCCGACTCGGAGCCTCAGCAACCTCGCCGATAAGAACGGGTTAAGGCTGACATGACTGACGGCTCTCTGGGGGACATTTCTGAAATGCTGTGTGATGTGTGAATCAACACGGAGGGGAGGAGCTCTGCTGTCCACGCATCTGACAAATGCTGGCTGAACAGGCTTCCTACGGAAGGCCTTCTGAGCGCCTTGAATGTAGGGCACACGCCACGTACCTACAAAAGGATGACAACACGTATCGCATTGCCCCAGCCAAGTTCAACGTGAACCCCTTTATAAAGAATCATCTCGTAAGACCAGTGTTTTAAGAAACACTGGCTCCGAGTCTGTGAGGCTCACGTGACCTGATCCGAAAACCAGGTAGGATTTGGACAAGCAGACAGAAGAACCAAGGCAAGCACCTTCCAGAGAAGGAAGCAGGATGAGGCAGGGCATGGAAGCGAAGACGCCAGGACTCTCAAGGGCCAGAACGGGACACAGGGCAACGAGAGAGTGGGGAGGGCAGGGCGAAGGGCCTGTTCCAAGGCGAGAACTGTGCGTTCTCTTCTGTAAGGAGCAAAGAGCCGTCAAAGTGTCTAAAGAGGACACTGACGAAGGGCAGAGCAGAGTCTCGGAATTTTGCTGGGGCTACAGGCGGCGGCATGGACTTCAGGCCGACAGGCCGGGGTGGGGGGCAGGAAGCCGGCTAAGAGACAGCCTGGGGAGGTGACGGGTGTGCCTGAGCAAGGCGGCGGCAGTGGGGACAGAGAAGCAGAAAGAAATGAGGAAAGAACCGGCACCGTCAGCATTGTCAGCCCTCGGAAAACGACGATTCTCATGTTCGTTCAGCCAGGATCTCACTGCACAGCAAACACTGCGCTCAGGATCCAGGAGCAGGGATAAGAGAACCTGGCAGAGTCACAGAGAGGGAACGACTCTGAACTACCACACGCGTGAGGCATGGGCCCAAGGGTCAAAGCAGGGCGGACCTCTCCGAAGGACGTCGCACACATTTTCCCACTAAATAACAGTCCTTGGATAAGGCGGGCGGGGCACCGGAAGTCTTGAAAGGACTGCTTAATCATTTCGTAACGCCCCGCCCACTCCCCGCCTCTCCAAGGACTAGAGTAAGGTGGTGTCTGACCGGAAAAGGGTCCCCTGGTCTTCTCTGTCTCGGTCTGCTTGCCCTTCTGGCTGCGACAGACCCCTGGGACCAAGACCAGCAACGGTGCACCCGTGGTTCTCGCTGGCCAGACGCCATTGCCAGAGCCCAGCACTCACCCCAGGCACAGACTGTGGGACTAAGTTCTCTCAGGCTCTCTTTTCCGCCTTTGGCAGTCCTGCCGTCCACCGTCAGGCCCCTCCATCTCAGCTGACCTCAGGTGACATGCTCACGCGTACTCTGAAGCCCTGACAGCAGAGGAAATTTCCCTCTCTTCACAATCCCCGCTGACTCCTGAGGAGCGTGGATTCTGTTA